TTAAAAAATATTTTTAGTAAACAATATTGTAAATAGAAAAAATTAATATATATTTTTTAAAAATATAAAGAATATGTATTATATTTAAAAAGTGTTATTTTTAAATGTATTATTCTTTGAAAAAGTATTTTTATTAAAAAATAATAAATATGTATTAAATGTGTTATTTTTAGTAAATCAATTATATATATTATAGATTTTTAAAATAGATTTTTAAAACAGATTTTTAAAAACAAATTTTTAAAAATAGATTATTAAAAACAGATTTAGTATAATTTATATTATTTTATTTTAGTAAATATGTTAAAAACAGAACAACACATTTAATACATTATTTTTATACATTATTTTTACACATTCAATTATTAAAAACAGATTTTTAAAAATAATGAATATATATTTTACTTTAAATATGTTATTATTAGTATAATATATTATTTTAGTGAATTTATATTATACTTTAAAAATAATGAATATATATTATACTTTATAAAATTATAGTGAATATATAATATACTTTAATGAATATATTATAATTTAAAAATAATGAATATATATTATAATTTAAAAATAATGAATATATATTATACATTAAAAATAATTTGTAGTAAAAATATATATTTTTAGAATAGATAGAAATGAAATATTTTTTAAGAAACTAAGAGGTCTCGATTTCTATAAATAAAAAGTGAAAATGTTTATTAATATGTTTTAGACTAAATCAATTATATAGATACATATACTTTTTGAAATTATGACATTAATTAAATATGTATATACAAAAATCATACTTAAGTATAATTCATTTTTTTAGAAAATGGAGAACGTCTCTACATAACTAAGAGAGTGAATATTTAAAGAATAGTTTCAGGCATATTTCACTATTTTTCTCGGTTGAATCATGCTATTCATGTGGGTGTGATACCATTCATTGACCATGAATATGGATAACAACTTTTTTACCTTCTATCGAAGATGAATATGACAGTTGCTTGTCATGTTAACATGCATATTAGATTAAAAAATTTTATATTTGTGATGTGAATTTCATGTAACTAAATATTTATATATTTTTTAATGTATATTATTTTAATTTTTTAAATTTTATAGTTAATATTTAATATTTATTTTAATTTTATAGTTGTTTTTAGTTAATATTTTTTTTTATTTTTTTATTATTAAATTTTATAGTGAAGTGCAAACAATATCACTGTTATAAAATATATTTTTGTTGTATATCACATCACTAATTGTGAAAATCACATGGGAACCAATTTAATTAGTGCCAGATTTTCTCCTAATTTTGTTTTACCCACGTCAGAAGTGTTGATTAATGTGGCAGATGATTTGTCATGTCATGGAATGTTTAGATTGGTCAATCTGAAGTGTTGAAGGGTTGATTAACATGTGGCAGATGATTTGTCATGCCATTGAATGTGGAGATCGGTCAATCTGAAGTGTTGAAGTGTTGATTAACATGTGTCAGATGATTTGTCATGCCATTGAATGTGGAGATTGGTCAGTCTGTGTTGATTAACATGTGTCAGATGATTTGTCATGCCATTGAATGTGGAGATTGGTCAGTCTTTCATGATTTAGAATTGGTACATTGATTTCAAAAATAGATCAACATGTGGCAGAGTGATTTGTAATACAGAATGTGGAGATTGGTCAATCTGATGAAGTGTTGATTAACATGTGTCAGATGATTTGTCATGCCATTGAATGTGGAGATTGGTCAGTCTTTCATGATTTAGAATTGGTACATTGATTTCAAAATAGATCAACATGCGGCAGAGTGATTTGCAATACAGAAGGAAGGAATGTTTCTGATATGCAATACAGAAGGAATGAACGTTTCTGATTGACTTACCTTCTAAAATCTAAGAGATTTGTCAGTCTTCCTGATTAAGATTTGATACATTGATTTTGAAAATAGTTCAACCTATTACAAAACATAAGACAAAAATCTAGAAAATTGGGCAGTCATCTTATTTCAGAAGTAAATTAACCAATGAGAAAAATACTGACAAAATTAATTGAGATTATTGTCTATAAGATAATTGTGATTGAATTAAATTGAATAAGAATATTCTCATATTAAATTTACAAGAATTATGATTGGATTGAGCAAAATCTCATATATTAAAGCATGTTAATAATAATAATAATAATAATTTAATAATAAATAAATACATAAATAATAATAATAATAATAATAATAATAATAATAATAATAATGATTCAATAATAAATAAATACATAAATAATAATAATAATAATAATAATAATAATAATAATAATAATAATAATAATAATAATAATAATAATAATAATAATAATAATGACCTCATTAATCTTATGAATATTGGGTAAAAATATATAAATAGAAGTTTGCGCAAATATTCTATAATAAATCTTTAAACAATATCTTTAAAGCACCTATTAACAATATCTAGTCTCAAATTTTCAATTCTACAATTTATTTATATTCCTTTGAAATATTCAATTTTTTATTTTAACATTTATAAATCTTTTTAGATATGATATTTGTAAAAATATTCAGTTTTAATATTCAAAATAAATACTAAAATGCATATTATATATTTCAATTTAATCCTAAATATATATTTTATAAAAACTAAAAAGAAATACAAAGATTTAAAAAAATCAACTAGGATTTGATCCGATGTAAAAAAAAAAAAGATTTGATCTAACTTTTGATTCAATTTATTTTAATTTATATTTATTAGCATAAAGAATAGTATATTTTTGTAAAGAAAAAATCCAAATAATAAATAAGAAAGAAAAAATCATAGCTTTCCTCCGTTATATTCACCCGAATCAATTCAACCCATAAAGACCCACCATCACCCCCTCTCTCTCTCTCATTCTCAAATGTGTCTCATGCGTTTCTCCAAAAACACAACCTTTTAACACTGTTTCTTTTTCTTTATTTTCTTCGCTGATTCTTCATCACCGGAGAGAAAAAAAGAATGTCATCATCTGGTTTTAATCCCGGTGGTGGTGAATCATCGGAGTATCTCACCGGCAGACCAACAAACACCATCAACAACCTTATCACAACAACCCCTTCCCTCAACATCAACAACCTTAATCATCCATCTCTTTACCGAACCCAACACCACCACCAACAACAACTTCCTCCAATTTTTCTAGATCCTTCCTCACAGATCCCTCAACATCGCATCATCGGAAAACGCACCTTAGCTGAATTCCAAACCCAACAAAACCAAACCTACAACCACAACCTTAACCTTAACAACAACAACCTTAACAACTACAACAATCACAATCATCACAATCATGTTCTTTCAAATCTTTTACTTCGCTCCGTAAAACCAAGAACAGGTTTGCAGTTTCAAAAAAATAACCCTTTGTCTTTCTCTGTTCCTGAATTACAAAACCCTTCATCTCTCAATAACTACCCAACAACGCAGCGTTTAGGAGTTCCGATACTTCACCAATTTCGCTCTCAACCTCAACCACAACCTCTACCACAAAATCAACATCAACCAATTAACCCAAATTTCCAATACCGAAACTCGAATTTAGGTCAAGTGATGAACCCGGTTCAAACCACCGAACCAGAGAAAAAGATCAACGACGATCAGAAGATTCTTCAAGAATTAGAAAAACAGCTTCTTGAAGATGATGATGAATGTGAAGAAGCCGGTGCTTCGGTTATTACAAGTGAATGGACAGAGACTTACCAGAACCTACTAAGTGGGCCTGGTGGGCCAGATGGGCCGTGTGGGCCTCCTCTAGCCCAGAAACCTTCTTCATCATCTCCAACCACATCCACCACGTCATCAACTTCTACAGCGGCTTCTTCGCATGCATCTCTTTGTTCTAGACAAACCCTAATTGAAGCGGCATCTGCAATTTCAGAAGGTAAAAACGATGTCGCTTTAGAGATCTTAACACGCTTAGTTTCGAATTCGAATCCCAATGGAAATTCGGATCAACGGTTAACCAATTGCATGGTTTCCGCTCTGAAATCGAGGATGAATCCATTTGAAAATTCCTCTCGTGTTGCAGAACTCTTCGGGAGAGAACATGCAGAGTCGATTCAGAGCTTTCTTGAAAGCTCGGTTTGTTTCAAGGTGAGTTACATGGCTGCGAATCTAGCGATTTTGGAATCTGCATTTGAAGAAAATGGAAAAGGTTTCTGTGTGGTAGATTTCGAAATTGGACAGGGAAAACAGTACGTGAATCTCCTGCACGCGCTTAACGCGCGTGATATTACTCTGGCGCCAGGTTTTACTGTTAAGCTAATCGCCGTGGCTGAGAACGGCGGTGACGAGACTCTTAAAGCTGTTGGCGAGATGCTGACTCGTCAAGCGGAGAGGTTGAGAATCGGGTTCGAATTTCGTCTTGTTTCTGTTTCTCAGAGACAAGTCACTGAGCTGAGTCGCGAGTTGTTAGGTTGTGCATCGGAGGAAATTCTTGTTGTGAATTTCGCGTTTAAGCTGCATCGAATTCCAGACGAAAGCGTTTCCACTGAGAATCCCCGCGACGAGCTTTTGCGGCGCGTGAAGAAACTCTCCCCGCGCGTGGTAACTGTTGTGGAGCAAGAAATGAACTGTAATACGGCGCCGTTTTTGGCTCGAGTTGCTGAGTCATGGTCTTATTATTCTGCTTTATATGACTCGGTTGAGACTGTGTTAGGAAAGGATCACCCGGATCGAGTCAAGATCGAAGAAGGACTGAGTCGGAAGATAAGCAACTCGGTGGCTTGTGAAGGTAGAGACCGTGTTGAACGGTTTGAGGTATTCGGAAAATGGCGGGCGCGTATGAGTATGGCGGGGTTTATGTTGAAACCAATGAGTCAAAGCGTTGCTGAGTCAATAAAATCGCGTCTCGCTGGAGGCAATAACAACCGAGTCAACACGGGACTCACTGTGAAAGAAGAGAACGGTGGGATTTGCTTTGGTTGGATGGGAAGAACACTCACCGTCGCTTCTGCTTGGCGTTAACTTTGCCCACTTTTTTTTGTTCTTTTGTTTTATTTTATTTTATTTTAATTTGGTTCTATGAATATTAATATCAATATAAGTTACATTGTCACTACTATATTGTAACGTTATCTAGACATAATGGAAAAGCATAGAGAATAATAAAATTTGGATGAATAATAATCTATTTTCAACTCACCTACATGATTTTTTTACTAGAGACAAATGTGATAATAAAAAAAGAATTGTATGGTTGATTTATTTTATTTTACTTGGGTATGTGAAAGGAGTTGGTTGAAGTTTGGTAGATATAGCTAGCTTGTATGCATTGGTTTGCCCTTACAATACCGACAAATGAGGGCTCCACACTTTAACAAGTGCGATTTTGGGGTTTTAGTTGGAGTTGGAATTTCCCTATTATCCAATTCTGCTTCCAATTTTGTAAAGTCTTCTAAAATAATGTTATATGCATCTATGCAATTCATTGAAGGTATTTTTTGTGGTTTATACTAGAGATCTTTTAAACCTAAAAATGGAAAGAAAAGAAAATAAAGAAAATTGATTTGTATTGTGCCACATTGTCTCATATATATATATATATATATATATATATATATATATATATATATATATATATATATATATATATATATATATATATATATATATATATATATATATATATATATATATATTATAATTCTAGTCATATAATGAAAATTATGATTCTAGGAATAAAATAAAAAAGATCATGACTATCTTTTGATCTCTTTTATTTTTTTCGGGCTATTTCCATAAAGATGGAGTCACACTTAATCTAAGATTTACTATTCCTCCTCCTTTGCTCAACATTTTACACTCGGAACTATTCCATGAAACAATCTCATAAAATGCCATGTTCATTAAGAAGCCACAACCAATTATCAGCAAATCATAAAAGGCATTACAATCAAAATTTCTGAGGATGAGTATTTGGCCGGTATTGAGGTTTGAAACCATAACCCCCATGGTTATATTGCCCAAAAGGGTTACTCCTATCAAAATAGATGCCTTGCACGCTAAATCTTCGCCATTTCGAAAGTCTTTTGAAAATGGGGGGAGTTACTTCACTACACGAAAGTTTTTTTTTTTTTTACTTATACCTTTTATGCATTGAAGATATGTAAAAAGCGAGAGCATCATGCTCATTGAATCTAGCTTCTAATACGCTCGAGCTATTCGCATGGACTCAAGACTTTAACCATAGTTTATAACAATCGTTAACCTCTTAGGTTTGGATTATAATTTTTGGTCGACCCAAGAATATTGGAGGCCTGTGATTTTATTTGCAATCACTAGTAGTATTGGTACACTTATTTGTACGGATGTGACAACAAATAGACCCAAATTTGACAGTGGTTATGATCATTCTGTTAGAGTTATAGTAAATTAGGATCTAAAGCATGACCTAATGTGCATGATGCTTGTTGAAAGAAGATTTGCCTTCTTTTTTGATATAGATTGTGAAAAACCTACTGACCTACTGTTGTTTTTGCAAATGCATTAAACATGATGTTGCATCTCGCAAAAGAAGCAAAAACCAACAAACATGTCAATGGGGAAATAAGAAAGTTATTAAAGTGGAGAAAATGTTGTCTTACATTTAAATACCCTAATTTTGTCCAAATATATATATATATATATATATATATATATATATATATATATATATATATATATATATATATATATATATATATATATATATATATATATATATATATATATATATATATATATATATATATATATATATATATATATATATATATATATATATATATATATATATATATATATATATATATATATATATATATATATATATATATATATATATATATATATATATATATATATATATATATATATATATATATATATATATATATATATCGTGTATTTTTATTTTGTCTAAATTTTTTATTTAAAAAATGGTTGTCTCATTCAGTTATTTATTTATTTTAAATTTCTTTCATTTTCTTAAAATATAAAAGAATAACAAAAAAATATTATTTTGCTTTCTTAATAGACAAATAAAAAATGAGTAAATTATTTGTGTAGTTTTTTTTATGGCAGAAAGAATTAAAACGAATAATATTCTATTTTGGTATTTTAATTATATTGATCAAAATTGATTTTTTATTTATTTATTTTGGTAACCTAGTTTTTTTACTATAATTTGACGGCTACAAATTCTCAAAGGGGGACAAAAAAAAAATCAGCCACCAATCCTCCAAAAATCACATGAAAATCACCCCCTCTTCTCTTATTTTCATCCTTCCATATATATTAATTTCATCTTCAAACTTCACTAACCAACCTTCAATACAATCTTCTTCCTCTTGCACCAACATAATCTCCATAAGTTCTTCTGCATTAACATTGAAAAAGTTATAGAAAACAAAAACATTCTCTATTCTATTTTTAAAACATTCATCACCATCTTTTCTCTTTAACCTTCATCATAACAACAACACATACAAAACCATACACAACAGAAACTCTGAAAAATATGTAAAACAAAATCTTAAACAGAAAGAAAGGAAGATGAAAGAATTTGTGTATGGTTTAGTTTCCGCGACCCCTACACCCTTCCACACTCAAACTTCGTTTTCTGGCCACCATGATCTTTTTTTTGGTGACATTTTTCTTACACAAAAACGCTTCGTTCACCCTCTGTTTCAGTTAGTTGCGTCGCCCTTTACATGTACTCGCTGTCGTACGAATCGATTGGACTGCACGAAATCGTCGTGTATCCCTCTGGTCACTGCGAGATCTCATTCGGTAATTTTTCCTTGCTCTTTATGTTTTGTTTAAACCTTCTAATTAATGTAGGTTAGTGGAAAGATTTAGTTTTGTTTCATGATACTTGAATGTATTTTATCTGATTCGAGAGAGATGAGAGCTTTAATGTATTGTTGAAAAGAAAAAGATGAACATGAGCAATGTAACGCCCTGTATAGCATATATCTAAAACAATATCATACAAGAGTTATTATCTGGTACTAACACCATCATAAGTGCCTATTGGCACAAATTATATACTTGACCATTTTACAAAAACATAAAAGAACTACAATGGTACAAGATATGGAATGTGTCAAACATAAAAATCTAAGATCTAAGTACAATATCTTTCATTGTAAAACTCAATACACATCAAAATAAACATAAGCTAAGTTTTTCTTGAAACATTCATGCATAACTCCACTTGCAAACTAAACCTGCAAACAATACCTGAAAAACAACAACAATAATGGGGTGAGATAATAATCTCATTGAGTTTCCTTATCTTACGGGTTCACTCGACTCTACAGAGTTCTAATCAATTTCTATCTCAAGTCGAAAGGGAAAGGGATAAGACTTGAGTGTGCACAATTCGCAATGTACGGAAACATGTCTCTCGAGTCCACCAACTCAAACAATCACTAGTACGAAAACCATACTGAGGCATCTCAAGTCTCTTACCCGTAGGCTCCATTCATTTAAGGAACTCCTGTCAAAGTATTAATGTGTACATGCCAAAGGAGCTCTATGTAACACCCTTTTCTACCCCACAATTAAAAGGCACATTTATTCAAAGTCATCAGAGTAAAATGTTAAACTCAACAATAAATCACCTCAAAGGGCGTACATTTCTCAAAGCTCAAAATAAGTCAATGCTCCGTGTATAAAGGGTTTTCACAAAAGATATCAAAATTTGCTCAAAGGCAGCGGAACTCACAAGGCATATTCCAAAGTTTTCCTTATACGGAAAGGTAATTAAAATAACTCAATAAAACATAGCTCGACGCAAAGACCCAAACCCGATGTTACAATATCAGAGCAAGACCCTCTAAGTTAACTAAAGGACAACAACTCAAAACTTCAAAAGTCATCATCGACATCCACGACTAAACCTGGTCATCTGCACGTTACCCACGTGGAGGTAACATTCAAATAGACAGGGTGAGTAAAGGGATTCATATTCATAAACATATAAAATGGCATCATAGTCATATTCAACATCATCATATTAATCAATAGGCCTCTAAGGCCACAACATCATAAATTATTCCAAATCACTCATAAATGCAAATGCAACAAGACTTAATGCATGTGGTGCCAATCATCACAGCACGATGGACACTGAGCCATCAACCCTCCATAGATCCCCATCAATAGGATCGATTCTACTAGAGAACCGGAGCACATCAAAACACTTCACATCCGCACAATGGGATTGAAGTCAAAGTAATCGAGGTCTTGAACCGACCTCCGGATGCACATGAATGCATGATGCACAAGTCACAAATCATCCTCATAATAACATCATAGGTGCATCATCATTCATCATAATCATCATCATCAAAATAATATCAGTATAGCTCACCATAATAATCACCATCATACATCATGTCATCATAGCTCATCATAATAATCATCATCATCATACATCATGTCATCATAGCTCATCATAATAATCATCATCATACATCATGTCATCGTAGCTCATCATATTAATCATCATCATACATCATGTCATCATAACTCATAATAATAATAATCATCCTCAAAATCAATCATCATCATATACACATTACATAGAATTCACAGTCATACTCGTGTTAATTCATCATATTATCACATACTAATCACATAGAACTCATAATTATACTCACGTAATCATCATATTATCGCATATTAATCACATGGGATTCCCAGTTATACTCATGCTAATTCATCACATAAATCACAGAATCAAACATCAAGGCATCGCTGCACGCAATAAACATTTGCGAAACTCTACTACGTTCGCTGACATGTTCGCTAGGTGAGTCTGGGGCGAGTTTCTTCGATGTGCGAAGGATTCTTCGCTAGGAGAGTCTGGGAACAACATTGTTCGTTGTGCGAAGCATTCTTTGCTAGGCGAATAATGCGATGACACCAAATTATGCTATGCACCAGAACTTAATTCAAACCAAAAGTCCACACGACTC